GCACAGTGGCTCTTGCCTATAATCCTAGCATGAGCCAGAGCAAGACCCCCCTCTCTAAATATAGCCGTGTGTTGTGGCGAGTGCCTGTAGTCCCAGCTACTTGAGAGGCTGAGGCAAGAGAATTGCTTAAACCGAAGAGTTTGAGGTTACTGTAAGCTATGACTCCATGGCACTCTACCAAGGGACAAAGTGATCCCCACCCCCCAAAAAAACAGGGTAGTGCCTATGGCTCAGTAAGTAGGACACAGGCCCCATATACTGAGGGTAGTGGGTTCGAACCTGGCCCCAGCCAACAAAAAAAATAGCCGGGCGTTGTGGTGGGTGCCTGTAGTCCCAGTTACTTGGGAAGCTGAGGCAAGAGAATCGCCTAAGCCCAAGAGATGGAGGTTGCTGTGAACTATGACGCCACACCACTCTACCGAGGGCAACAAAGTGAGATTCTATCTCTTTAAAAAAATGGCTTTTGTTAAAGATTGAGTAGGGTTAAGAGTTTTAGAGATGGCATAACTATTTCCTGTCCTTTACCCTGTCTACATTAGTTGGTTCCATATTTTTGTTTTTAATATGAGAGGCTGTTTTTTTTTAAAAGGAAATTATGTACAGAGCGTCAAGATATTAACTGTGTAAAGGCAGATTGTTAGGTTGTCCAGGAATGGTAGTTCAGAAGCCACCTCAAGATGACCATGCTGAAATTTTCAAGATTCAATTTCTATAAGGAACTAGAACCATCAGCTTCACCGCACTATTGTATGAGGCTAGGGTCCTGAGTAAATGGGTAGGTAGTGTTTTCAATGTCTTTATTGTGGAAAAAGAAAGGTGCAATTTAATAATAAAACTCATAATTGGGGCAGTGTCTGTAGCTCAGTGGGTAGGCGCTGGCCACATACACCGAGGCTGCTGGGTTCGAACCCAGCCCAGGCCAGCTAAAACAGCAATGACAACTGCAACAACAACAACAAAAAAAAAGTAGCCAGGCTTGGTGCCCGCAGCTCAGCAATTAGGACACAGGCCACAGAAACTGGGGCTGGTGGGTTCGAACCCAGCCTGGGCCTGGCAAATAACAATGACAACTACAATAACAACAACAAAAAAAAAATAGACAGGTATTGTGGAAGGCTCCTGTAGTCCCAGCTACTTGGGAGGCTGAGGTGGGAAGATCACTTAGCCTAGGAGTTTGAGACTAGCCTAGGCTATATAGTGAGACCTTGTCTCAAAAAATAAAAAAAAAATAAAACTCTTCACTGAACTTTGCAAGTTCTGAAACAGATTATGATTAGCCCAAGATCTAGGGATTGCAGCGTAATGTAACATAGATTCCCAAGTGGGAGGGGCTCTGCTAGAGGAGGTATTGATGTCAGGACACACTGATGGAATGTATAGATATTTATGCTTTCCTATGTCACTGTTCCTTATGGCTGTAATTTGGTTTTAGTACTCGCTCAGTGTGCCTATGCATCTTATTGTAGCTTCTGGATGTCTCTGTTCTTCCCTGCTTTTCTTTCCTAAACAGGTGACCTATCCAGGAAGGATTAGACCCAGACTCTGTACTCTCCACTCTTTTCTCACCTCCTTCCTTTTTTCTATGCCTGGCAGGAGCTGGACAATTTCATCTCTTGCATGTAAGTGTATCTATGCTTCTAGTATTCAGGGAAGCATGTCTGTCTGAGTGTATTTCTCTTCCTTCCTGCTGTCCTCTCTGTTCCCCTGTGAACATGTCTCAGAGCATGCCCTCTCTCTTGAACTGATAGGGTTGTTATTGACTGGAACTCAAGTTGCCTGATTCTTTTCCTAAATTGAGGCAAGAATTGTCTACTCTTTTTTTTTTTTTTCTTTTCTTCTTTTTTTGTCTTTACCTCAAATCTAGAGATACTCTGCCCTCTGGTGGAAACTTCCTAAAAATCAGGTAGTCAACTGGTCATCTGAGTTCAGAGGTCAACAGATATAATAAACTATAGATGGCTATCCAACACAAATCCAAAGCAAATCCTTGCCTAGTTGGCAGCAGCAATTATAACTTAGTTCCTTTTCATATCCTTTATTCCATTACTTTAAAAACATACACCTTGGGCAGCGCCTGTGGCTCAAAGGAGTAGGGTGCCAGCGCCATATACTGGAGGTAGCAGGTTCAAACCTGGCCCTGGCCAAAAACTGCAAAAAAAAAACACCACACACATTTATTATCTTTCAGTTCTGGAGGTCAGAAGTCGACAGGTTTCACTGGGTTTCTGTCCTTTACTTTTATGGTCCATGGAAAGGAATTTATTTGAAATACTCTGCTTGATATGTAGGATAACTTAGATTGGAAAACATTGCTCTAATTCAAACATTTCATTTGAAAACATAATAATACAAAATAGCTCAAGTGAACAGGTTAAGATGCACAGATGCTAGCATGATTGGGACTGGGATTCTTTTCTCATTGACTGCCAATCCGTTTTTGTTTTCACTATACTGTGTATGTGTCTTCGGATGCTGAAGTTTCACAAGAAAAGTGATCCTGCTATTGGAAAGGTGAAAAGATAGGTAAATGGTGTCATGGGTTAGTGGTAATTTAGTTCAGGAATAGTAAACTACTTAAAAAGGTCCATTATGGATAAGTTTTGGGGATAAAACAGAACTCAGGATAACAAATATGAATAAATACAACTACCAAGATAGAGGCACTGCTGACAGTTATATGTATTGTTTGTGTCTGCCTTCCCTATTCTTTGAAGTAAAGAGGAGTAAGGCTGTCTGGAATTTTCCTCCAACCTAACTTAAGTCTCAGTCAATGTCAGTTCTTTTAGGCTGGTCCTTTAAGATACACCATTCTACCAGAGCAGCTTCTATTCCATAGAGAACTGAGTCAGAGATGACAAGAAAAAAGGCCAGGAAGTAGGTGAAAAGATATCTACAACAATAGCCATGGTCCAGATAATACTTTGGGTAAGCTGTCATTAGATATTAGAAAGTAGACCAGATTGAGAAAGTGCTCAAACATGGGCTCTTTGAGCTTAGTCCCATCTTGTAATTCTCTCTAGAAAAGTTATGTCCTCACTTCCTTGCCTTTGCTCTCTCCCACCCAGGTATCTAAGGATGATCGCAGTGATGTGGAGAGCAGCTCAGAAGAAGATGAGGGGACCACCTGCACAAAAAGCCCCTGTGACAGTAGCTCCAGCAATGGTGCCAATCGAGTGAATGGTCACATGGGAGGCAGCTACTGGGCTGAAGAGTAAGGTGGTTGGTATGGGGACTTAAGCACACATGGACTTGTAGAGCCACTGGCTTCTTGGGTCTCCCACATCTACTCTTATGTAACTGGGGGACAGCAAGGCACTGAGGAGAATCAAAGAAGCAAATGTTTTCACTTTTTTTTTAAAACCCTGCCATTTTTGTATTTAATAGCCTCCAGATCCTTTCAATAATGTTATTTGCTGTGTGTGTGTGTTTGTGTGTGTATTTGTGTGTGTTCTTATGCATGTGCATTTGTGCATATGCATGAGTTTCATTGCCTAGGTTGGGGCACAATTCTGGACTGGGGCCACTAGGCCTTGCCTAGTCGCTTTGAACCCAGCTCAATCCTAGATTTGGCTGCATCTTGAATTATACTGGGTCCAGACTATCCCTTACCTTTTTGCCCATGGCTCTTGAGGCTCTAAACTCCTGGACCATTGGAATGGGGCAGCCAAGTTCAACTTCAGGTTCCTGTACTGTTCCTCTTTTGGAGCTAAAATATTTCAGAAGAAGTTGTAAAGAAACAGAATGATGATGGATGGCCAGGATTGCTATGCCCCCAAGCTAGATCCTTTTCCTACCACAGGATAGTGATGGGGACAGCTCCTGATAACCCTGCTTTTTACTCAATGGTACACAGGGAGTGGGGTGTGGGAGAGAGTGAGCTGAGGCCTGGAGGAGGACAACAGCCACTGGGTGAGCTGTTAATGGTTTTATATTTGTTTACTCTTCTGTGATTAAAAGTGCTTCAACCCTCCTCAAATGTCTCAGCCTCTTTAGTATCTCTGTCCTCCATTCGCTGAATCCATAAGCTAATAATTAGGAGGTTTTCCAGATCTGATTCAAGGAGCCCTGAACACCAAATTTTTCCTCTGTCCATGGTGGGAAGAGCCAGCCAGAGTGCTTACATTTTAGTGTTTTATGTATTAAGAAAAAAATAGCCCAGGAGTTGGGGGTTGCTATGAGCTGTGATGCAGTGGCACTCTACCAAGGGCAATAAAGCGAGACTCTGTCTCAAAAAAAAAAATTTTTTTTTTTGGCTCAGCACCTGTGGCTCAAGCAGCTAAGGCACTAGCCGCATACACCTGAGCTGGTGGGTTCAAATCCAGCCCAGGCCTGCCAAACAACAATGATGGCTGCAAACAAAAAAACAGGCGGGTGTTGTGGCAGGTGCCTGTAATCCCAGCTACTAGGGAGGCGGAGGCAAGAGAATCGCTTGAGCCCAGGAGTTGGGAGTTGCTGTGAGCTGTGATGCCACAGCACTCTACCCAGGGTGATAGCTTGAGGCTCTGTCTCAAAAAAAGAAAAAAGAAAAAGAAAAAAATAAACATATTTAGTGGATCACAAAGACAATACTGACGGGGGGGTGGGGGGCAGGGGGGTGGCGCCTGTAGTTCAGTGAGTAGGGCACCGGCCCCATATACCAAGGGTGGCATGTTCAAACCTGGCCCCAGCCAAACTGCAACCAAAAAATAGCTGGGCATTGTGGCAGGCACCTGTAGTCCCAGCTACTTGGGAAGCCAAGGCAAGAGAATCACCTAAGCCCAAGAGCTGGAGGTTGCCGTGAGCTGTGACGCCACAGCACTGTACCAAGGGCGAAAAAGTGAGACTCATAAAACCAATACTGAACAGATTAAAAGATGTATACAGTGAAACCAACAAAGGTTTTGGTTGAAAAGCTAAGTCACTTTTAGTTAGATATCTGTATTTGCATCTTATTTAATACAGAGATTGCCAAATAACCTTTTAAAGTTGTGATAAGTGAGTCTGAGCAGATGCTTTCTGTTTGAGTTCTATTTTCTCTTTTATTTTATTTATTTATTTATTTATTTAATTTTTATTTTGCAGTTTTTTGTCGGGGCCGGCTTTGAACCTGCCACCTCTGGTATATAGGGCCGGCGCCCTACTCCTTGAGCCACAGGCGCCATCCTATTTTTTCTTTTAGCCCTTGGAGAAGCTATCATCCTAACTAGATTTTTCTGTAGTTGAAGCCTTGATAAAATTAACCAAATGTGGTATTCATCTCCCAGAATAATTTTCCATTTAGTGAATATTCACATTATCAGAATATTCCCATGTGCTCTTGTATACACAATGACATATAAAGAGCTTCATATCAGAGATGGATGAAAATGAAAAGAAATAAGTTAGTGTTCTAAAAATCAGATTCTCAATGTTCATTGACACTGTAGGGATATTGACTCTACTAAACTTAAATTACTGACAGACTGGATTTTAAAAATACTACGGGGCAAACAGTTGCAGTGGCTCATGACTATATTCCTAGCATTTTGGGAGGCCAAGGTGGATGGATTGCCTGAGCTCAGGAGTTAAAGACCATCCTGAGCAAAAACGAGACCCCCATCCCAAAACATCTAGCAAGGTGTTGTGGCAGGCGCCTATTGTCTCAGCTACTTGAGAGGCTGAGGCAAGATTGCTTGAGCCCCAAGAGGTTGAGGTTGCTGTGGGCTATGATGCCATGGCACTCTACCAAGGGTGACATATATATATAGAGAGAGAGGGAGAGCTCTTACTACATGCCTGGCACTGTATTAAACACGTCTGATAAAGATGAGGTAAAAAAAGAGGTTAACTTATCTAAGGTCAGACATCTAGTAAGGACTCACACGCACTGTCTCTCTTCTTAACCACTACACTACCACATTATACCACACAGCCACTATACTATCTATGCTGCCACTTCCCAAAACTTGACACAGGGGCAGGCGCCCATAACTCAGGTGGTTAAGTTGCCAGCCACATTCACTAGGGTTGGTGAGTTCGAACCTGGCCCGGGCCTGCTAAAACAAACAAAAATAGCCGGGCATTGTGGCAGGCGTCTATAGTCCCAGCTACTAGGGAGGCTGTGGCAAGAGAAGCACTTGAGCCCAAGAATTGGAGGTTGCTATGAGCTATGATGCCTGGGTACTCTACCAAGGGTGAAATGTAAGACTCTGTCTCAAAAAAAAAAAGGAAAAGAAAACTGGACTGGATATCTAAGGTGCTTTACTTATCTGGCCATCAGTTGATGCTGGCTGTTCCTAGGAGCTCAGTCAGGGCTGTCAACCAAAGTGCCTACTCCAAAGCCCAAGACAATGGAGACATGGCCTCTTCATTGTCCTAGAATTTGCACAAGTGGCTAAATTCCAAGCTGCTGGGCCGTTTAGGAGTGTTATCTCAAACTGACACTGATCACCTCCCTGTGTTCTGTAGATAAGAGTAATCACAGGGACTGCCCATATCACAAGTGGGTGGTGAGGTAGACTGTGCCTGTTGATGGAGAAGTGACAAAGTCACTGAAGAAGAGCAGATGGAATGGGAGACACTGTTGCAGCCATCTTTGAAAAATTCAGCTTGCCACAATGTAGAAAGGGAGTTACAGAAGTTGTTTTAAACACACAGACAATTCAGATTGCCCATCCTAATCCTAAAAATAATCATGAGTTTAGTTATTAGATAATTATACTCCTCTCACTCTGTCACCTGAGTTGGAGTGCAGTAGTGCAATAATAGCTCTCTGCAGCTTCTGATTCCTGGTCCCAAATGATCTTTTGGCCTCAGCCCTCTCAAGTTGCTGGGATTATAGGCATAAGCTACTCCACTCAGCCCTGGTACTCTGAGACATTAGATCCAGTCTTTATGTAGGCAGATACTATCAGTTCAGTAACACACTCATTAAGTGCCCACAGGCACTGTGGCAGAAGCTGAGGACACAGGTAAGATTTGTTTCTATCTGCAAAGGGCTCATAGTCTAGTAAGGAAAAAAACCAACACAACAATGCATTAAGAACTACTCTAACTTGTTCTTCTCAAGGACGAAGAAACTTGAAAGTGGAGCCAAGCCATTAAATATGAGTAGAGTTGGGAGGCACCTGTGGCTCAAAAGGGTAGTGCGCTGGCCCCATAAGCCAGAGGTGGCGGGTTCAAACCCAGCCCCAGCCAAAAACTGCAAAAAATAAAATAAAAAAATAAAAAATAAATGAGTAGAGTTTTGCCAGGAAGAGAAGGAATGAAAGGGTATTGTGTTTAGATGAGATATGAGTATATGAAAGAACATTTCTGGCTCAGCGTCTGTGGCTCAAGCGGCTAAGGCACCAGCCACATACACCTGAGCTGGCGGGTTTGAATCCAAACTGGGCCCTAAATAGCCGGGCATTGTGGCGGGTGCCTATAGTCCCAGCTACATTGGAGGCAGGAAAATCGCCTGAGCCCAGGAGTTGGAGGTTGCTGTGAGCTGTGATACCACAGCACTCGACCCAGGGCAACAGCTTGAGGCTCTGTCTCAAAAAAAAAAAAAAAAAGAACATTTCTGACTTAAGGCAGATTAAAATAAACTGAGACAAACATCTAGAAATGGTGGATAAGGTATTTTTTAAGTTGTTTTGTAAAAATGTATAGCTAAGCTTCCAAGAAAAAGACAAAAGACATGAAGGAATTGTAAAGAGTAAACAGCAAAATAGCTGATGTAATTACTGAGGGGAGTAAGAGGAACATAACTTAAGGATTTGTTTTAATGCTGACAACAAAGAGGAGGCTAGCTCTAAGTGGGAACAGATAAAACTGAGTCTCCCAGTTAAAGCTGGGACCCTGAAAGAGCAACAGCCTTAGTGAAGGAGGGGAAACTATCAAAAGTCCATCCTGCTGGCAAAAGAAGAAAACAAGAAAGCCTGAATGCCTAGGCTTGTGGGCTCAAGAGATTTAAAAATTCTAAACTCTGGACACACCTTATGTGAATTGAGTACACTTTTGTGTGGTCAGGGGTACACGACTAGCCCCACCCAATTCCCAGGTAAGAACCTGCATAAAAATTGGTTTTAGATTAGTTATCACTCCCAGGTTGCTCTGGAGAGACATGCATAATGATACAGACAACATGGAACTCTACACCTTCCTCCAAAAGATTCATTCAAACCTGTGACACATATATTAATACTAATAAAACACTAGTATCTAGAATATAAGGAATTCTGTCTATGAATTTAAAAAAGAAAAGAAA